GGGTCATTTACCAGTCAAGCACGTAGGAGCAATCCTCTTCCAGAGGCTCATGAGCTGGGCAGGTTTCCACAGGGACTGACGAGACAAACCCTTGGCATTTGAATTCCTTCCCTGATAAAACTGACAAAGTAATTTCCTAAAACCCCAGCAAAACGTTTCACTCTGCAAACCTATTACTGGACCAATGTTCTCTAATTGCTTCGTCAATAAACCGGGAGAGGATGAAACAATTTCCAACCCCGACCATTCTGTGATTCTGTGAAACAATTGACAGGACAGTGACTTTATAATCAGAACTCTTACAAAGATGCTTTATCTATTCAACTGAAAGAAGCTGAATACAACACTACAAATTATCTGCCAGAGTTTGGCAAGGACAAGAAGCCTAACAAGATAAAGCTGCAGCTAAGCAAGTTTTAATTGAGCAACAAACTCTCTGTATGGTATACAGTTTAATCTCACTATGGGCAAATTTGCTATTTGCAGCTTAACTCAAAAGCACAGTCTACCCTTTGGGGGGAAAAAAAAAAAAAAAGCTATGCTCTGCATCACAGAATTTATCAGGGTGGTCAGTGGTTGCTGAAATTGCTTGGCCTGTGCTCTGCTGGCTATCAGACATTGCCATCCTAACAGTCCCACTAAAAAGAAATAACAATAAAAAATAAATCTAAAATTTAAGTTCCCATTTCCTCATTCCCACTAACACAACCCACTTTCCCTCAGTCTTTCTAAAAACATTCGTGTTCTTTATGTAATTTCATTTCCTCCTGAATTTTTCCTTTTTTCCTTTACAATTCATTTGCTCTTTCTTCTGTTCATGACTAAATAGTATGTATTGTAAAGTATCCAAATAACTCTCAGATTCTGAAATGGATCATAGTAAAGACAAAACACCCCCCAGGCATCCCTGATCACTAGAGAAGAGGGCAGCAAAGGGCTGTCACTCCGGCCCAGACGGGCAACAATCTGACCAAAAAAAATAAATACAGCAAGGGCCTCTTTCAACACAAATAGCAGAGCAGCAAGGGAGGAAGAGGAGGATGGTGAAGATGTAGGGTGAAGAAAGCGCTAGTAAGCTTGTCCCAAAGCGTGGGCTGGCATTAATGTGACTGAGCTCAGCCCCACTGTGCCCCTGTGCTCACTCCTGTCGCTGTGCGATGACCCTGTACAGCATCAGTACAGGTCTCTCCATTAGTTTTTCCCACTCCTTCTTCTTCTTACCTGGTTTTCATTTCTTATCACAAGTTAAAAGTCCCCCATTAGTTTTTCCCACTCCTTCTTCTTCTTGTTTTCATTTCTTATCACAAGTTAAAAGTCTCTCCACCCACCTTCACCTTTACTTTCCTCCATTCTTATCCCTCCATTCTTCTTTCATCTCTTTTATTCTCCTCCTTCCTTGTCAATCCTTCCTCCATTCACTCTTCTGCAGGCACCCGTGACCACGCTGTCTTGTCCCCTAAGAACCACGCACTCTCCCTCTCCGAAATCCAGAATCCATCCCCACCCTCCTCCTCCTCCAATTATTTTATTGCTTTTTAGAAACACATGTGAGGCATCAAGTGTAGGCAACTGATACTCAAACTTCAGCTACTTAACTGATGTTAACTCTGACACAGGCACTCGGAGAGCAAGCCTACACAACCTGATGACCTTCACCACGCTTCATCCCTCCACAGCACGTCTTTTAACTGTGCCAAACAATGGATTTGTACTGTGACAACGTTCAAATTCCCAAAGAGATCCACTGCACCAAGCACTATACAAACACATGCTGCTTTTCCCGAGACGTCTGTTCACCCACCATCTTCAGATGCATGTTTAAATTTATTACAAAATGTGAAAATACATTTTGAAACACACCCATGGTTGCTTTATTGAACAGTACAGATTTCAGCAAACATTTGAAACACCACATAGCTGAAGGTTGCCACAATGAGAGAGTAAGTTCTTTGCCCCCTGAGACAGGAAATTGCTGGGATTTGGGGAGGGAAGCACATAGGATTTTTTGTTACTCTGTGATTCTCAGAATTTTGTAGCATTTGAAGTACACTGCAGGACAACTGGCTTACAGAGGTCTTCAGGAGCTTCCTTGCTTCCTCATTAGGGGGAAGGATGTCTTGTACATCCCTCCATTCCTCCTCTTAGAGGGTATAACCCTTTTAAACTGTTGCTTCTCCTCTGTCCTGTGTTCTCAGCTATTTATTTGTCTTCCTACACAGTTTATATGCATAAGCACAACATATACCTTTCTCTCAACCCCGCTGCAGTACTCACCGTACCTGCAACATCATCCTCCCAACAGCCCCGTAAGGGACACCACTACCTCTGTTTTTACTAACGGGGTCCTCGGGTGCCTGGCAGACTGACTTGGGCACAAGCACCCGGGAATTCTGTGGCCACATCATGTACCCCAAACCCTGGGGCAGTGCATGGCACACTCATCTGCCCAGGTACATCCACGCCAGGCACT